TTTTAAAAAAATGGTCTAAAACCCTCCGAAAAATTCAGAGCCAATGTATGAAAAGTTGGGTTTTTTTTTTTTCAATTTAGGATGTTCATGGCTGATTTGAAAAATGTATAAAATGTAAAGCAGTGGTTCCCTCCTCTTGTCTTCACATTAGAATCACCTGGAGATTTTGGGGTTTTCCTTATTCCAGAGGCCAGGCCACATCTCAGACCCATTAACCGCCAGTCTGTGGGGTTGGGGAATACCATGGCGTTCAGTACTCTCCTGGTGATTCCCATACGCAGCCTCGTTTGGAAGCCAGTGCTTAAAAGGAGAAAACTTACAAAAAAAAAACAGGTGCAAATAAAGGTGATCCCTTGGACACACACAACAGAATCTGTCTGTCAGAGTTACTCATTGTCTCTGTATCCAGAAATACAACCTGATAAAATGCCAAACTCCGATTTCATTTTTACACCACAGGCATCCCTGACTAACATGGTGGTCCCTGAGAAGTTGCTCTGTAATCATTCCAAATTGTAAAAATTGTGAAATGTCAGCAAGAGAATCCTGACATTTCATTTCTTAAAACGCATGTAACATAGATTCAGGGTGTCCCCAAACTGTATACCCACTTTGAATAAATCATTTATTCCAATGGGTTAAATCTGAAAAGAAAGAAAAATCAATTAAGCCATCAGATGCTAACGTGGGTGTACCTTTTGGGGGACACACTGTATTTTTAAAGCAGGGCATCCCTGGAAGATTGCAGGCATGCCTTTTCCGTTTAGGTTTGTATCTTGCAGAGTCTCAGTTCCCTGAAAATACTTTGTAAACATCCCCCCAAACACTGTCAGATGCTATGCTGAGCCATTGCAACTCACAGGACATGAACATAGGGGGAAAAAAGACAGTTTTGTTGCTCGCTCCTGAATCTTGGCAATTTAGGTAAATCTCACGCCCCTAAAGCTGTGTCATCGGCTTGCTTCTCCTGAGAACTAACCACCGCTGAAGGGCGAGCAGCACAGTGGGCAGACGCCTGACAAAACAGAGAGGACCAGAACTCGCACCTCAGCTCCTGGGCAAAGGCTGCAGGAGGGTCCAGTGGGCGCACAGCTTACCCCAGGCTGTGAGGGCTGCGAGCTCCGGGCCAACCAGGCGAGGGGAGGCCGCTGGCTGTCAGCATTGCCGCTCACCCCTCTGGCGTTAGAAGGCAGCTCCCCGCCCCACACTCCCCGATCTGTGGATTTCTCACCCAGGAAATCTGGCCGGCAACCCCACGGCTGCTCCCGAAAGCCTGCAGCTGGCTGCCAAGCTCCGTGCAAAAACATGATTTAATTGTGGATGGAGGGAAATAATAGGTATCTCTGGTTTTTAATGTGATCTTAAAATAGGGGGGGAAAGTTTTCTGTTGTGACATTGACATGGAGGCGATGATTTTGAGTAATGCGGAATGATGTGGAGATGCTTAGAGATTAAGTAAGAGCTATATAAAGGCTTGTCAGAATGAATTCTAATGTGCCACAAGACGCTTTGCATACTCTTAAATATGCAAAACGTCTCTCTGAGCCCTCGGAGTCACTCTGACAAGCATAGCTCTTATTTAAACCCCTGCTTTATTTTTAGGAAACAGGTACTCAGAGCCACTCTGTCCATGGCAGCAACAAAGGGCGATGTTTATTGATTTGGTTCTTTCGTCTGGAGGGAAATAAAGAAACACCATACGGAAGAGCAATCAAAAGTGGAAGCTTGTTTAATATTGCTCTACCATCATCCCGAAAGGCATAATAATTTGAGTTACACATCTGAACTGATTGGAGTTACAGAATCATATCTCCTTTTTGCATTTAACAATATATACAATATAAAATAAATACATTTACACAAATGGACATTGGTTGGAGCACACGGTATGGTACACATCACAAAAATATACAATTGATTGCTTTACAGATGTGAGGCCCATCTACAGCTATAGACATGGTTTTATTATTATTATCATTATTATTATTATTCTTTTTACTATTGGCTATAATGCAACTCCTGGATTATTATAAGCAGTTTAATTTTTTTTTTGTCCTTTTACGATCTTTGCACATAAGACTGCCATAAAATGTTTTTCTAGGCAGGTAAACAGAGACGCTTAAATAATTAAAATACAATCACCAACACCCATTTTCTCTTCTATAAGAAAAATAGCAGTTTTAAATTTTTTATATCTTTTATGTTATCATTTAAATGCAAAATAGTGGAATAAATACAACAATCTGAGCTGATTGAAACACAAGAGTAACAGCAGGTAGTCACACAATCATATTGCTTTAAATAAGAACCAACTGAAAAAGAAACAAAATCAAAATTAAAATCATATAGCTAAAACATATACCTTTACTTCCCAAACATAACTTCCCAAAACTTCACATTAAGTAAATGGTCTTGCCTGAAACTCAAAAAGACTTACCTCAAGCGAGGTTTTAAGCGGGGCATTTGCCCTAAAGCCCGTGCAGTACTTTTAAGTCTGCATTGTTCGTTGTATTTCCTATTTATGGGGTACGTGTTTCACTTAAACTGAAAACCTAAAATTGTCCTCTCTTCTTTCCACATATCTCCATCTCCTGTTTTCAGTTGGTTGGCTCTTACTTCTGAAGCCCAAGTACTTTAATGTGATACAGTAAAAACGATGTATATTTGTATATATTTCATTTACATATAGTGTGGTTGAATAGTAGCAACTTAAACCCCGCACAGACTTTCTGGAAAATAATCTTTTTTTAAACACTTACATATATAAATAATCTTATAGAATCAGCACCTTTTTATTTTCCCAGGAGTTGGATTGTTCTGTTATTTTTCAAGGGATGTGCCAATTTCTGAACTCCTATCACAGCTATAAATTTCAAGTTATTGACCATCTGAATGAATTGCTAATGATGATTTATCTAGAATCACACTACAATCACTTCTCTACTGAGAAACCACAATCTACAATATAGTCCCATATAGCTAATGATAGATACACAGTATTTCTAGCATGAGGTTGATGAACCACCAACCCAAGGTATTTTGTTTAAAGCACACCAAGTAGCAAGAGTTTTGGAAACGTATCCGCACCAAAAAAGTTTTGCAACAACACAGAGCGAGTTAATAACAACGTTGTGGGAGAGATGAGTGAGTGAAAGCCATATATATACAGCATTTAAAAATTAGACTTATCTATATTCTTGAAATATTCAAAGTTTTATTTCTAAGCTATACATTGGTATTCTATAATAAACCATTAGAGAAATTATCCCTTGTTTTGAAAATATTATGATTTTTGATGTGGATCTGTTCATAAGGAATACTTGTTTGGAGTTTCAATCTCTTAATTCTTATTAGGAAGAACCTTATTACGGGTGAGGAATAGAATATACTACGGTAGTCTCCTGAGGAATTGTACATCCAATATTGTCTCTAATTCTACCCTGTGTCTAAAAGCACACACCACGAGAATCCAAACACCACAAGAAGAACAAGACAAACAGTCTTTGAATGCAACATAAAACTCCGAGAAAGCACAGCAAACATGAAACATTGAAAAGCTGAACTACATCTCTTTTTGTTTGTTAGGATTACAATTTTAATTACATCTGTGTACATAGAAGAAGACTGTTCACATGGTACAGGGAGCAGCTACTAACACTGGTCCATTGGATAGCATCTGATGGAGGTTACTGTTTCTTGGGTATTCGGCGACTGTAGGTTGTGGGGGCATCTAATCGACTCCTTCATTAGATTACACCTCTCCACCGTCGGGAACCTGACTGACTTTCTGGCTGGGACAATACTGGTTGAAAAGCAGCTGTATTGGCTTAGCTCTTGGTTAAAAACCACAGATTAAACATTCCTAAATGAATCAATTCATACCAAGAGGTTTTAGAATTTGGTCAGGCATCCGTCATCTTTGACGGGGGTTTTTTGTTGTTGTTGTTCTTCCAACTCTGGCATTATTGCCTCTTGAATGAAGACCGGCTCACAGCTCCTTCCGGGACAAGGTCTGTAACTTTGCAGATAGGCAGTAATGCATCCCTAACCACCGCAGCAGCTAGAAATCGTATGGCGATGGCACCTCCCAGGTGGAGAGGTGCGCTTCGGAAAATGCTACAGATCTGGATTCCGGGCGCAGTGCTGACAGGTGACCACCCAGAGCCACTGCAAGTGTAATCTCATCCTTTGCGTCAGAGAACATTTAGGGAAACTGGAGCTTGCGTAAAGAACTTGATGTTTGGGACCAGACGGGCACACAACATAAATTGCATCCGTGAGAATATGCACCTTCCCTTCAACTATTGCTTGAGTAGGTTAAATTCCCATATTAATAAATGGCTGAGAAGTGGTAAAGCTGGTACAAAAAAAAATCTCCATTTTGTAAGAAGAAACAAAACGTTTTTTTTAAAAAACTCTTCCTTCAGGATTCATGTGTCCTTCATTGTTGTCCATAATTGTTCAAAACCAGCACAAAATTGCAGTATTCTTAATTTCTCTTTAGTATTGCGTGAATGAATAAAGCTTAAACTATTCCCTGAAAAAGTTACTTAGTAGCTAAACTAACAAATACCTGGAAGACTTTGAGAAAACAATTCAGGAATCAAATGGCTGTAACTGATCGAGATGGAAAAGCGATGATAAGAAGCAGCCGATGCAAAGTTGCTTAAGTTGTCTGATTAGGGGCTGCTCCCATGGAATTTGATACTGCCCTCAGTCGATCCGTTCGTGTTGCACTGTACTTTAGCTACGTTGGTTCTTTCTCTTTGATTCCTTAGTCACGGGGGACGTTGTGGTTCACAATTAAGTTCACTGGCATCCATACTATGGATTTCCTTCCTTTGGCAGGGCTGGTTTCCACCTCTCTTCAATTAGAGACCTCTTTTAAAAGTTCAGCAGCAGATAGGGAGAGAGAAAGAAAGAAAGGGAGAGAGCGGGGAGGGAGGGAGTAAGGAAGGGAAGAAAAGAAAGGAAATAAAATGTTTCTTACTACTAGAGCTATTTAAAATTTAGAAGAAAAGGGAAGGGTGAGAAGAGAAAAAAGGAAGGGAGGGAGGGAATTAGAGAGAGGGAACCAGTAATCAGGAAAGCCAAGAAATGGGGGAAAGGAGGAATAAGAGAGGGAACGAAAAAAAAAAAAAAACATGAAGAGAAATGAGAAGAAAAAAACACATGAGAAATCTGAAAGCTGCTTCATAGTCTTGCTGCTAAGTGATCAGTGCAGTCTTTGCTGATTGGGGATGGCGTTGACTAAGCTCTACGTTTCTTCCACATTACGCTGGGGTTTATTTTCCCTTTCTTGGCGGGCGTGCAGGAGGAGACGGCGGCCCAGGAGGCCTTTAGTCAGACCTTGGCCTCCAGCATTTCCAAAAAGAGTTTGTGCATGGGGACCTTGCCTTCCAGTTTGATGTTGTAGAAGTGCTGCACGGCCTTGGTGGAGGTCTGCCTGAGCAGCGGCAGCGTCATCAGCATCTTGCCCGCCCTGCGTGGGTCCTCCACGTGCTGGCCGGCTTCGTAGTCCTGCAGGGCCTCGTGCAGGACGTCCTGGAGCTTCTGCACGGCCTCCACGTCCTCTATGTGCATGGAGTCTGCGCGACAAAGCAAAGGACAGACACAAGGCCATTAGTGATTGTGAGAAGCCGCGTGCAGCAGTCCTGCAAGTTAACAGTTACCTGTCCACTCCTCTAAGCCCTGAAACCTCTAAACCAGCGGTGGGCAAACTTTTTGACTCGAGGGCCACAATGGGTTCTCAAACTGGACCGGAGGGCCGGAACAAAAGCATGGATGGAGTGTCTGTGTGAACTAATATAAATTCAAAGTAAACATCATTACATAAAAGGGTACGGTCTTTTTTTTTCAATAGTTTTATTCATTTCAAATGGGCCGGATCTGGCCCGCGGGCCGTAGTTTGCCCACGGCTGCTCAAAACACAGTGTCTCCCCTTTCTGAACTATTTGTGGGGTATACATTTCCCTAGAGTAGATAATTTTCAGTGCTTCATAAGAACATGGGAATGAGCCCTCGCTGGTTTGGCTCAGTGGATAGAGCGTTGGCCTGCGGACTGAAGAGTCCCAGGTTCATATCTGGTCAAGGGCACATGACTAGGTTGCAGGCTGGATCCCCAGTGGGGGGCGTGCAGGAGGCAGCCAATCAATGAGTCTCATTGTTGATGTTTCTATCTCCCTCTCCCTTCCTGAAATCAATAAAAAATATATTTTAAAACAAGAACATGGGAATTACTATAAAAGATTCATTACTGAAAGGGTGTGGGTATTTTTTTTTTTAAGACAAAGAAAGAGAAACCTTTCTTTTAACAGATTATGACCATGGCTAGGTTATTCATTACCTCATTCACGTATGTATTCATTCACTCAACAATCATGGAAGGCCATCTAGGAAAAGTATTAATTTCATTGCCGTGGTGGGGAAGTTGTTGATAATCCTGACCTGACCCTGAAAAAGCTCACATATCCCAAAAGGCAAGAAACCTGCTGATGACAGAGATTTTTAAAACTCCATGTATATATCCTGGACCTACAGTGTGTTCCGTTGTAGAATTTTCAGTTACTATTGACGGTGCCTTAAAAGATCCTTACATAGTCTGCTTCTCTGCTGAGATACAAATAACGCCTTTAGATTAAAGAGTTAGAAAATTTCATTTAAAAATCCAATTTGATCAAGCAATGAAAGGGTTAACAGGGTTGCCAGGATTATTCTTGGGAGGGGAGGGTATAAAAGTTACAACTCTAAAAGAGACACTTAATTATATACAAGTTTGAATCATTTAGCATGTTTTATTGATTCTGATGACAGTTTATCTGTTAATTATACATAATGGGGTCTTTGGGGGGAATTCTGAATGTTTAATAATTCTGCTTCTCTAAGAATACAGAGTTCTAAGATATACGTAGTTATCCTAATCTTTCATATAATTCAAGTATCAGATCACATGCATAAAAAGAGAAAATCTAATTTAAAATCAAGTGGCTAAGCATACGATAAAATTATGGCAAAGTAATTAACAGATTGACTATTGTAAGCGGTAACATGTTTTTAAATTTTCTTTTTGTTTTGCTTATTTTTTTCCTTTTACATGGTTATTTTTGAGTCATTTCACGATATTTTTGGTGAGCTATTTATATTAGGTGGTTAATGACACATTTCTTTGAAAGAGTTTTGAATAATCTGGAATACAGTTGTTTATATGTATTTACTGCTCAAGACTTGATTCCTGCCTGAAGGAGCCCAGAGAAGGAATTCTTCCCCGTTAGAAATGTTCATGTGGTGCCCTGGACTGGAATTCAAGACATTCTCTGCCCTGGCCGGTGTGGATCAGTGGTTGAGCCTCAACCTATGAACCAGGAGGTCACAGTTTGATTCCTGGTCAGGGCACATGCCCATGTTGTGGGCTGGATCCCCAGTAGGGAGCATGCAGGAAGCAGCCGATCAATGATTCCCTCTCATCATTGATGTCTCTCTCTCTCTCTCCCTCTTCCTTTCTCTCTGAAATCCATAAAAACTGTTTATTTTTTTAAAAAGAGTTGAAATTGTCCTGAGCCTGTCTGGTTCAACCTCCCATCTTCATCAGGAACCTGTATCACCACATTTTCACAAAGACATTTCCACCTGTGTAGAGCGTTCCACTTGATAAGGAACCAAGCTAATTTTTAGAAATGTCTTCTTCATATTGTCCCCAATCTGTCTCCAATGACCAGTAGTCGGTCCTGGTCCCGGCTACTGGGACAATACATGTCCTTCTACATGGCAGGTTTTTATATCCTTGAAGTCAGGGCACAGTCACTTCCGGGCCCACCCCAAGCCCAACCTTCCCCACTTCTGGGGCCCAGCAGGAGATATATTATAGGATGTCACAGGAAATCAGGCGAGAACAAATAGCGGAGAGCTATGCTCACAAACAGCAATTAAGACTTCAAACTATTCTTTAAAGGCTGTGATTTAGCATGTGAGATTTAGAAATGATTTAATCAAATTACTGTGATAATTTAACTTCCCATTTACAGAAAAAAATTCTAAGTCATTTTAGCTTTGCCCGTTCTCGGATCTGCTAATACTTTAAATGCAAACTCACTAAATCTGAACTATTTAATTAGACCATGATTCAGCTGGCAGGCTGCTGAAGAAAATATTAATCTCCATTAGAGATCCCAGTTCAAGTTCTGGCTCTGTGGCTTTCATCTCTGTTCTGTTCTTTCGGCTAAATTTATACACGCGTGCCAGGCCCAATAGAAACGGCATTAATTTATGGAATTATTTAGCTCTGGTTGCTGGTGATGGTCTCTTTTTAACTTTATGTTTTTAATGGAAATAGTCCCAGTGTTCATGCTATTGGAAGCCAGCTAAAACTTAATAATGAAAATCATAGGTTTATGAACTAGACGGGGTGATGCTATACTTTTAAAACAATGGGTAAATTGGTAGAAAACAAAAACACAGAAACATTAATATTCTTGGGCCCAAGCCCAAACCTATTAAATCAGAAAATTGGGGCTAAATCAGGACATCAGAATTTGTTAAAATCTCAGCGATTCTATGGCCTAGCTAGACAAAAATGAGCATGTATTACCTTGGGGGCAGTGGCGATAGTTTCAAGCTAATTCTTGGACATAAACACTAGGACAATCTTGAGAATAGATCCCCATGATATAACCTTACCCAAAAGGCTTGTAGTTATATTTCATTGCATTCTCCACTAACAACATAAAATTAATTACAGAGGTCTCCACATGGAAAAAAAAATTCTACACATGAGAAAATTGGGCCTATTAATTATAATGTTAAAATGGCGACTTCAGTTGTACTTTTAAAATTCCACCTCAAAGAGATGTATCAGTGATGCTCATCATTGTAGGCACTCAAAAATACATATTTTAAGCGAGTCTCTGCGTTATTTTTTTTAACCTTCAAATTTAATTAGAACAGTTATATAGGGTTTCCAAATATTTGAATGGGACAATTACAGTAGTATTTTTTGATACATTGCTTCTTTGTTCTTTTTGTCATATACCTGATAATAGGTACTACACAACTGTTCTGGTGTTCTAAATATTCCTGAATTCACACGTGACAGAAACATAGCTGCAAAAAATATGACAGTCATTAACAGGAAGCCAATTCCCTGTTTCCCAAGCATAAGCACAACATTTATAATTATTGAATAAAGACAGATGTTTAAAATAAGCTGAAATTTAGATTAATGAGACAATGCTTGTTAACACCTACAGCCACATGGGGAATGCTAAGATACCTATAAATTAAATGACACTGAAATAGATTTTTTTTTTTGGCACAAAAAGTCACTTAAGCTGATCTGAAATTTCTAAATACTAAAAAAGACAACCTATGAGCTTTTCAGGGTATCTAGGAATAGTGTTCAAATATTTTCATATTGACGTACTTAAGGGCAGTTTAAGAATCACTGTATCTCAGCAAGATCAAATCTACAACTTTATCACTGTCCTCCCAATAATGGTAAAAAATAAATAAAAAAGAAATGAATGACATCAGATGAGGTATCAAAGACAATGACTTTTCTTGTCATTTATTCCAAGCTAAAATGGTGGAGCTCACAGATTAGAGGAGAAGAGAAAGACCACATTTATACAACACAGTAGGGGTGGCACACTTAGGAATTAAAATGGTCCTTATAATCACTTCTCCTTTATCAGGATGCTGACTCAACTTCTCTTCCTATTGAGAGACTAAAAGACTGTTAAAATAACACAGAACATTTTGTGACATGGAAAAATTTTCTTAGAAAACCCAATGCTACTCAATACTATAATAAGGGAAAAGGGTGGGGGTGGGGGGGCCTTGGTAATTATTTCAGGCTTTAAACAAGAAAAACAAACTAACTAGCTCTTTAAATACCCTAATAACCAGTCCCTGCTCTGAAATAGGTCAACCGTAAGTGAAGAGTGGGTGGGATTTGAATATTTATCTATAAAAATATTAAGGATTATACTTCTCAACAACAGAGAGAAATGCCATCAATTCAGGCACTCAAACTGTACTCCATAGCCGTACAGTATACCTCCAACTTCTAAAATTATAAACATTTCAGCCATTTTGATGATAAAATCTTAGCACTGCTCAGCATTCATGATTAGTTAATTTATAAAAAAGCAATTTGAAGCATAGAGGATACAAAACAGGCTTGCTGCACTTCATAGATAATTATTCAAAGAAATGTTTAAATTTGAATTACTTTGTGATTACCAAATAAAAATTCACAAATCTGCCATCTAATTATGAGAGGGGCTATAAAATGAAGTCTCTGCAAATTAATAAATCCTCAGAAAATTGCTGTCCCAATTTCCCACTTTGGCTTTCCAGAGAGCAGGACCAGGGGCCCTTGATCCTGCAAGAGCAACGCCATTTGTCATAATGAGTCATAATTTACAGTTTCCCAGGGAAACAGCCGAAGAGAATGGTGTGGTTAACAACTAAAAGTGCGAAATGCTAAACCCCATTATAAAGACCGATCAGAAAGTACAACTTCATTGTTGAAAACAATGTCCCTCCTATCCGTCCCCGGATCCGTGCATCAATATTGTAGATGAACTGTTAATGACAAAATCAATTAAAAAATTATTTCTAAACACAGTCACGCGTCCCCCGGCTCTCACGGGGGCAATCTGGGCAGAAGGGCTCATCTCCCTAGGACCGCGCCAAATCACCCCTCCGTCATCCCCAACTAAGCAAAAGCAATCTGGTTTTTCATTTTTCAGCGCGGCTGAGCCCAGCCCGAGATTGATCGTCACATATGGCCCCAGAAAGCAAACTGTCAATACCTTGAAAGCTGCAGAATTTGAACAAATAGCCGTCCGCCCATTCAAGCCACTCACTGCATCCCATTTAACAGATTTTATTGACAGTTTCCTCCTTGTAATTAAAGGGAAAACTACTGGCCGGCAACCAAGATAAAGTTCAAAGATAGGGTCACAACAAAAGCAGATGGAGGGGCACGGAGTGACTGTCAATGGGACAGAGCGGCCCGGCGTGTTATCGACGCGCAGGTATCTAATGATCCGCCCGTCATTAAGGAGGGATCTAGCCTGCGCTCTATGCAAATGAGGAGACAGACTTAAGACCACAAGAAAGGGTTCAGAGAGACACACGGGGGAAACCAACAAAGCGCCAACGATTTTTTTCACACGCCTGAGGTTGCCGCCTTTTAGTAAGTTTCAGTTTAAATGTAAAGGCTCTTCATCCCCATCATGCTTAACCCTCACCGCACAGGTGGTGCCTTTGAGGGGACTAGTCCCGCTGCCCAGTTTGACTTTTAGAGCACCCCAGAAAGTGAGAAAACAGAGGGTTCTTTGATAACCAAAATTAAAAATGATACTAAAGATGTGTTTTTTTTCCCAATCGCAAAATGTGCATTTTTTTGAGGAGAGAAAAAATGGTTTTTGTGTTCACTTGTGCACACAAGACAACGGGAGCTAATTTTGTCATGGGACTGTCCATGTACACTACAAACTAGTAAATGCATGAGGTGGCAAAAATCTCCCACAGCTTGCCACAGGCAAAGGTAAGGTGTCCCCCAATAATGTATACATGCACTTTGAATAATGATAAAGGCAGTGTTTGTTAAAAATCATGTCATTTTCAAAAGGGAGCTGTGAAGTGTGCATACATTTTGGGGGACACCCTGTATAATAAAAATAATTCCCATCACGTTGATTTTTCTTCCTTAGAACTTCTCACCAGAAAGCTGTGATGATTCTGATTTTGCTGATTCATACAGAATTTACTACTGGACCGAGCGGATCTCTGAAGAAGTTAAGGGAAAGGATAAAACCGACACGTGAAAAAATGTAACAAGGAACACGTCAACATGCCAACCTGAATTAGCGAGAGCTATTGCTTTGAGGGTGACGAATTCCTCTTTCTCCAGCTTCATGCTCTTGTATTTCTTCACCAGCTGCAGGATGGCATTATTTAGGTCGAGAAGGCCTGCTAACTTGGACTGGTCTTCATCCATTATATAATCGTCTGCATAGACAAGTTCATCCTCGAACGAAAGAGATCGGTATACGACACCAAGGATCAAAATTTCCATCCAAGCACTCTGCAGGAGGCTCATCTGGTCCGCCAGGGACAGCGTGGAGAAGCCTGCATGGGGAGAGGAGCAGATCAAGTTACCCCACAGCCATCATTTCATAAGGACACATTCGTTTCAATGGCCCACAGCTTCTGCATTAGGGCTGGAAATTGTGCTGAGTTTCCATTAGATGCTCTCACATTCCCCCCTGATCACTGCGCGAATGGCAAAGCAAAAGTCACCAACCAGCTCCAACACAGTGGTGTTTTCCCGAGCTTTCATAGACTGGGCTGAGAGCAATACAACAGAGAATTCTGTATCTCTCACTTGAGAAGAAAATTCAACAAGATCGTTAAATACGCTTGATTATCTGGCGGAAGTCTTAATGGCTCATAGGAAGTCAGATTTTCAACGACCTCAGGTCAAAAACTGCTATTGATAAACAGAATAAAAGTTTCTTTTTTAAAAAAGCCAAAAAGAGAAAGGAAAACAAATAATTTAGGTCATACAATTTGGAAACATTTCTCTATAATAGTCACAAGCACAGTGAACAATTAGTATGCTTACACTCACAAGAGCCTTTGCAATTGGATATTTGTTCCCATCAATATTTAACATGAATTCCTGTTAAAAATTGTGATTACTGGTATAAAAGGGAGTGGAGTACTTAGCACCCTGGCCTCCTCCAAACAGAAAAGCAAGTTTGCTCTTTGGATTAAGACCCAGTTATTGTACAAGTTGAATATGAGGGCAATGGGGTTTTGTGTAGAGGACATGAGCAGAGCCAGATCAGAATTTAAGTATTGGCTCCACTGAGCTACTTACTGGCTGTTTCATCTTGAGAATGACAATTTACTTGTACCTTAATTTTTTACTAGAAAGTATAAGAACCATCCAACAAAGCACGAACTTGTAATATGCATTTGATAAGTGTAGCTACATCAGATATTAGTTTTATCTGAAATACCAGCATGACTGTTTTCAATTCTTTACTGAAACTCTGTGAATGCTTACAGTCCCTTCTGAGCTTGCGTAAACATATGAATATATATATATTGTAAAAAATGGGGATGGATGGGAAAAATAAAGGAGCACAATTAAGCCTACTTAGGAATGAAGAGATTTATTTATAGTTCAGAGGGACTAGATTTAAATTTTGAAAGATATGTAAGGTCTTAGTGAATCACCCAAATATTTTTTCAACAGCCTTTTTTTTAAAAATAAGTTTATTTTTTAAAACTTTACTTTCATTTCCAAGGTTCTGCCCAAGGAATCCCAAGGGTAACCAACTCCTGGGGTCTTGGGGGCCCATGATTTAAGGCACGACCACCAGTAATTCTACAGAAGGGGAAACTTTGGGGGCAATGCCACTTATAAAATCTGTCTCTACTCCCCTTCCAGACCCTGTTACCCAAATCAAATATATGCAGCGCTGCCCAGGCTTCTTAGGCTCTCGCTCTGATCATTGTCATCATTCTTCCTCCTATCATATTGTCCATGTCCCACGTGGCATCAGGAGGGACAGCACAGTAAGAAAAAAGGTGAAGATTCCCTGGGCTGTTGCTGATAACTAGTAGCCGCCATTTGGCACCGTCAACTAGGAGAGTTTAATACAATCATCAAGAGGGATTAGGCAAGCTCACTCAGGGGGTCTGCAGGCATCTGTGAAAAGCGTTGCTTTCCTTGGGTAGCAAGCTGCTGACACAGGACTGGGCAGATCTTCCTTTGGACCTGGCTGTGTCAGTCTCTTTTTTCCCCATTCTTTTTTTTAAATATATTTTTGTCTTTGCAAAGTGGGTTACATTACTAATTATCCTCCTAAAATCAGCCATAACCATTGATAACATTTTAAACAGACATTCAAAAGAGGAAAATAATGACCTGATGGGTCGTTCTGGCTCCATTTGCTTTCAATCAAAGGTTATCCTTAAAACAAATAATATCACTCTTTTTTTCTGCCCCATCCCCTCACCACCAAGCAAAAAGATGCCATGCACACCCCACTAGCTAACTCGAGAAAAGGGGACCACATAGGACTTTCTTTCCTAAGTTAAACGGATGAAAAAACACACGTTCTTCTAGGAAGTTGTGAGCAAACAGGCATTTTCCATGTGCCTCCTCCTCTCCCTGTTCACGCTCCCGTCTCTGCGGCAGCAGATGGGCCGAGCGCATGGCCCGCAGCCCCTGCCCGTGACAGCCCCCCTCCCTCCCGGGCTCCGCTGTTAGTAAATAGATTTACACATTCCCCAATCTCCACACATCTTTTCTGCCGAATAATTAAAAGCAGGATGATTAGTTTATTGAGTGGAAGGAGGAACTTTTTTATTGAGGTCCATCCGCGATGTTATCAGGTCGGCCCTGTTCTGGTTGTCAGGAGGGCGCAGGCATCCAATTTTTCTTATCTGCCTGATTAATACAAACGCCGTTTCAGGACGCATTAATTAACAGATACAAATCTGCGTTCTCATGGAAGGATCGATACGGAGAAGAAAAGAGGCATCAATGTGAATTTAGTGCTGATGATGGAGAAGGCGCGCTATCGACAGTTACGTGCATGGAAACTTGAAAGTTGCGCAGGTCCCTTTGTCCCTGCGATGTACAAATGCACTATTTTCCACCCGTCACAATGTTGCACACGTTTCTTTGGGATTTAATTAAGCAGGGGGGGGAAAAAACTACAAAAAAACAACAACAATAAAAGTTAATTTTCTAAGGTGGATTCTGCAATTTATTTCTTTTATGGCATTGGCTGTGTGTGTGTGTGTGTGTGCCTGTATCTTTCCTATAAACGTAACTTTTCCCCTTTCTTTTTTACTTCTAAATGAAATAAAAAGAAGGAGAAAAGCAAAGAAAGGTGTTCTCTCTCTCTCTCTCTCTCTCTCTCTCTCCTTGGTCAGTGAGAATGGGAAGATGGATCTAACATGAAGGTTTGACCATTTTGCTTACTTGCTATCTGGAGTCTATTTCAGCCCATTAAAGGAGGTTTAAGTTTGCAAAACGTAGGGAAAAGCAGCCATGCGCACTTTGCACAGTATGAATACACGTGTGGACTTGTATCTCTTCTTGGTCAAGAAATAGCTGAATCTCAACCCATTAACCCTTTCTGACCTCACTCTGGCAAGCTGGCAGCTGGCACCCGGGCTCCCCCGCCCCAATGCCAGGTAACAGCCTTATTATGGGATGGTCCTGCTCACTGGTCCCTAAGAAGGCTGGATACATAACATTATATTTTCACTCCAGAGTTCTTCCCCCTGCCCTCTGGAGTGTTAGCTGTATTTTACACACAGACAGACACCTGGATGCAATACTCCTTTTATCAGTAGATCCGAGCCAGGTACAGAAGCATAACTGGCCAAAATCTAAATGAAAAACACATGTTTTAATAAACTGTGACTAAGGAATTTTGTAAAAGCATGTTTTATCGGGGCACACACACATCAGAATGGTAATCCCTGGTTTGTGCGTTTGCCAGCATTTATGGTGTGTTTTCCAGCTAGCAGGCTGAAAGTTAGAGACACCCCCTCCCCAAATCTGTAACATTTAGCTCTCTTTGGAGAGAAACCTCTTCCGCAAGGGAGTAAAATACGCTTTCCCTGTTGTGTCGTTTGCACTTCATGTTTTGTACGGCCCGGGATCTCAATCTTTGGTGTGTGCCAGGTCATAGTTTTAAATGCTCGGCCATATTACAGCGTTTGAAAATAACACTGAGGCCGTGCGTGGCCCATGCTTTGCTTCCCTGGCTACAGCCCATTCCACACGTGTACTTGACAACTGTGATCTCCCTTCGTCTCCGTCCTGGGTTTAAACAGTGTGTCTATCTGCTGTACAGCGGGCTCCCAACAAACCAGATGACAGCTGGGAATAGCAACACCAAGAAGGATCGGAAAGAAGCAGGTACCCCAAAGTCACAGGCCCGTAGGAAGTGTGTTCTGTGCCCACCCCCTCGCCTCCGTCGCCTGGAAACTTCGGAGGATAACAGTGACACCATGGGCACTTGTCAAGTATTTTTTTTTTTTCTGAGCCTGGCAAACGGGTGCACTTTGCAGTCCACTTACACAAAAAGGCTAAGCATGTGAAAGTGTGAAGGGCAAAGACTATCTGATGGCTGGGCTTCCAAAATGCACTTTCATTTCAGAAAGCAGACATGTTTATTCCCTGTGAGGGGTGTTGACACAAATAGGCTGCCGTGCAGGCATTTGGGGTTTAACCCCTGCGAGGCATGTTCTTCTTGGTGGCTCCCCTGCCACACACAGCAACCCTATACATCTTCGGGGTGGCTGTTCCTATCAGGGGCACTGACTGCGCCTGCTCACCGTGTTTGAACTGTAGTTTCTCTGCTCCACAAAAAAGAAATCGGAAATCCATTGGGAGTAGCTGGCTGAGCGACATGGCAAAAGTGAGACACTTTCTCTCTCATACACATAAACCCAATGTGGACAGGAATGAGGGGGGAAGAGAGGAGAAAGAATATCAATGGCACGAACACTTGGTGCATAACCCTTGTTAGAGGCAAACTTGCTCTAGATTTTTAAGCCAGTTATGTGTTTCACACGAGCAGACACGTGTTGTATATGATTTGCAAAGCATACAGCTCTGGGCCGTACAGTGAATGTGTGTGTGTGTTTTGCTGTAGTGATGGACTACATGAACTAGACCTCCAAAAAGTCCAGAGTTAAGCAGCTACAAATGGTCAAGTACCAGGGTGAGGGCTCACATATCTATCTGGTACCAGAAGAAGCATTTTATTTAAAAATCTTCTTTATAAGGGATGGTGGTGACTCTCTCTTGATTTTATCAGGTCTTAGACATTAGATAGGATACCCACAGTGCTACCCTTTGGCTCTCTTGCTCTTTTTAGACTGACCGTGATGCAGATTTCAATCATTTAGATTCCATCACAGTTGGTTTGGGTGAAATGGAGGAATACAGAAGAAAATGTAAGAATAACTGCCCAAAGGGGATAGCTCCCTTTCTTGCTAATTGAATCGTGTTTTTGGCTTCTGTTGATTCCTTAGGAAATGTGGTTTTTTATTTCTGTTTTGATCCTAGAAGCAGGGCTCACAGGGATTTT